ATGGTATTGAACGGCTCGGAGATGTCCAAATTGAGACATCGCGGCATTAAGGCAGCTACGACAAGGTGAAGTGCGTCGATTCTCTTTTCATTGGTCGTCGTTCACCCTTAAAGGTTAGTTATATTCAAATATTCTTTTGCATTCGAATATAAGTAAATCAGCTTGTGTGCAAAAGTTTTGAAAACCCGAAAATGGTCTAAATAAAGCAAGCGAAATGTCTCAAACCATGACAAATGCTGAATATATGGCTGTATGTGCATGAAACGGAAAGCCGCGGCRGGTAGCAACACTTACGGTAAAAGCTACGTACTTGTAAACGCTTCCCAGTATGGAGATGTGACTATGTGATACTTGTACGCGTATTATACATTCATATGTTATATGAGTGTACTATACAGACACAAGTTCAAGGTTTTATAGTCTACTTTAAACATTTTTATTTTTCACCGTGGCGCAATATTTGCAAGCATTTGTCTTGACGACTACACATACAATTATGAACTACTGTGGTTCGACTAATAAATTTATTGCAAGGATCGGCACAGAAATTCAATATTTTAGATCGTCATTGGGTGATAAACGATTGTTTACAGGTATGACAGAAAAATGAAACGTACTTATTTTGAAGTAACTATAGCCGTATTTTGAAACAATTTCCAAATTAATATGCTTAAGTCTATTACAGCTCTGACTAGTCCTTGTGTAACCAGTGTCTTCTTTTACTGGTTTGATGCTTCACTGCACTCTCGCATATACTTACATATGTACATATGCAAAAACAAGTGTATTTTCTTTATCACTGAATAATTTTACGACTTTTTTATGTCTTCGGTATCCCGCCGTCGTGGCTTTCAAACGAGATTACAACACTTTATAACAACACCGTATTCATATAATATGTGTCATTTTAAGGTGAACACTTACATGCAGTGCACGTCATGCGTATTTATTTGTGTGTGAGAAGGGAAGTTCATTGGAATGCCTATTAAATATTAATCGCTAAAGTTTCACAACTTGAAATAGCTTTAATTGTGTCAATTCTAGTATGATTTACTTAAAAGTACTCATGCTTGAAGACTCCAGACCCCATCCCAGACCCAAAATGTTGTCTTTTATTATTTTATTTCTGCATATTACTTTTGCTAAAAATATCAAAAAGTAGAAAACTTAAAAGAAAGCGTTTAACACATTTTTAGTAGTATACGAGCATGTAAAACAAATACTTTTGCAGCCAAGATCTAATTCATTTGAAAGGTGTAAGCGTTTGGGACAATTTACTACTAACTGGTCTTATTTTTGCCACTTTCTATAATCCTTTGCCTTTATCTCGCAMTTCTTATTACATTAATTTAATATTATTTATTTGTTGTGTTGAGTTTTGCAGTCGTGGCATTAATTTGCATTAGAAATAGGTGAAGAGTTCAAAACCGGTGGTGAAAGAGGCAGAAAGCGTATGTAGCATTGAAAGATAGACAGATAATTAGCCGCAATTCATTACCAAAGCTTCATGAAGACGAGCAACTTTTACAAATAAAACCGTTCACGTCAGCTGCACCGAAGTTATACACGCTATATACGGACAGTGCTTTCTTATGGTATAATAGGGTATAAATATCAATTTCTTTAGATTTTTTATCTAACTTTAGAAAATTTTCTGCGGGTATTATAGCGTTTCCCTGCACAATAATGCCATGCAAAGTCTTGTGAAGATAAGGTAAAGATTTTCAAAGAAAAACTTGATCTTGATCGTCCAATTTGTATGGCAGCCCTATGGTGACCATATCGATATGAAGGTATGAGAGATTAGATCGCGTATATACCGAAAAACGAACAGATATATGGATACGGCTAAAGCGATTCTTTTCAATGGAACGCTAACCATTTATACAATATATGTATAAAAAGAGTTAAATATTGCCAAACATTGACTGCTTAATCTGCAACTCAAATTATGCTAAAATTAAGAATTCAATGTTTAATAAAAGCAACCCAATGAGGATGATATAAACCCTTTAACAACCACGTCTTCCATAAAATGGAACCATATTAAAAACTGCAACTAAAATTAGTGATTACAAACAGAGGTTATTCCAAAATTCTTTAATTCAGATGATGAAAATGATTTGGAACCTCTTAAAGTAATGAGTACGTTTAGATTAGGTTAAGTTATACTGGTTGGCTGTCATGCCTTACGTCCTCGTACAGGTCCTTTATAACGCCAAATGGTCGATGCACGATGACGATGCACGTTGACGCCATCCTTACGAAACTGCACATGATCTTGACAATTCTGCTTACTCTAACAGCATTCTTTATCACCCTGATCCGCGTGTCAACCCTTTCGGAAATTGCAGGGATAGCGTTTCTTCGGTACCCACATGGATGGCAGCTTTAGCAATTTCATCAGCTTCCCGGA